ACATTTCAGGAATTGTTGCTGACTCTACTGAAGTAATATTCTTGTGTAAATACTACTTGATGCAATTAATTAAAATAAAAACAATACCCTTTCAAAGTACTTAAGGCAAAATGGTGCTTCATCAAACACTAAGAACATATGGAAGAAGCATTTAACCATTTCTTTTGAAATATATATTTTTTAATCCTTAAAATACTTAACTGCACTGCTTAAAAGGTCACTCTGAGATTGCTGGCTTCCCATATCCCTGCTATCTTAACGTTGAGGAATTCTCTAAAACATGGATATTACACAACAGATTTCAACAGTAATAAATAAAGCGAGAAGTGATCCTATGATCATCAATTTCTCAACTCACAGTATTTTTAGGATTTTATTTATTTATTTGAGAGAGAGAGGCAGAAGCAGACTGCCTATACCGAGCAGGGAGCCGGATGAGGCAGGGCTCCTACACTATAGGTTCTAGCCAGGACTATTAGGCAAAGAAATAAAAGGCACCCAGATGAAGACAATTATCGTATGATCTCACTCATATGTGGAATTTAAGAAGCAAAACAGAGATCATAGGGGAAGGGAGGGGAAAATAAAACAAGATGAAATCAGAGAGAGAGGCAAACCATAAGAGACTTTTTTTTTTTTTTAAAGGTTTTATTTATTTGACAGAGAGAGAGACAGTGAGAGAGGGAACACAGGCAGGGGAAGGGGGGGAGGGAGAAGCAGGCTTCCCGCCGAGCAGGGAGCCCGATGCGGGGCTCCATCCCAGGACCCTGGGACCATGACCTGAGCCGAAGGCAGACGCTTAACGACTGAGCCACCCAGGCGCCCCCCATAAGAGACTCTTAATCATAGGAAACAAACTGAGGGTTACTGGAGGGGAGGGAGGTGAGGGATAGGGTAACTGCATGATGGACATTACAGACAACATGTGATGTAATGAGCACGGGGTATTACATAAGACTGATCAATCACTGACCTCTACCTCTGAAACTAATACTATATTACCTTAATTGAATTTAAATAAAAATTAATAAATTTTAAAAAAATATATTCAAATGGAAAAAAATAATATGAGATAGAAACATGAATGTACACAAAGTGAAGTGCCCTAGAAAAGGTAAATACAGAGGTAAACACAAAAAACATGACCTTGATCATTTCTAATGCCTTTAAAATATAAAATGAAAGTAAATGAATCAAAAAAATGTATCACAGGAACTATAGTACATAAAAAAGTAAAACTTATAATAACAAAATAAAGGACAGGAGGAGGAATTGCAGGATTATGTGGAAGGTGCTTACATTGTACAATATCATTTGTTGGTAGACTATAATAAGTTAATGTCAAAAAAATAATAAACAAGGCATACCCAGGTGACTCAGTTAAGTGTCTGCCTCCGGCTCAGGTCATAATCCCTGCTTCTCCCTCTCCTCTGCCCCTCTCCCCCGCTTGTGTGCACACTCAATCTCTCAAATAAATAAATAAAATCTTTAAAAATAATAATAATAATAATAGGGACCCTGGGTGGCTCAGTCAGTTAAGCATCTGCCTTCAGCTCAGGTCATGATCCCAGAGTCCTGGGATCAAGTCCTGCATCAGGCTCCCTGTTCAGCAGGGAGTCCGCTTCTCCCTCTGCCTGCTACTCCCCCTGATTCTCGCTCACAAATCAATAAATAAAATCTTTAAAAAATAATAATAAACCAGTAATAGAAATAAAGTGAAATACTAAATAATATGCAGTTAATTCAAATCAAAGCAGGAAAAAAGGGAAGAATCAAAGAACAGATGAAAGAAATGGAGCACAAATCACAAGATAGATTAAGACACAAAGTATCTATACTTACACTGATTGTAAATTATGTAAACACTCCAATTAAAAGGAAAGATTGTCAGACTTGGTAAAAAAGCAAAACACATTTTATAAAATTCAATATCCACCTAATAATAATTCTCTGGAAACCAGAAATAGAAATTGCTCAACTTGATAAAAGGCATCTATAAAATACGTATGATCGCTTTACACCTAAAATCAGAAACAAGGCAAAAATGTCTACTCTCACCATTTCTATTTAACTATTTATACTGGTGGTCTTACCCAGTACAATAATGCAAAAAAGGGAAGAGGCATATAGACTGGAAATGAAGTAAAATTTAGAGTCTACATGAACATACGTGTAGGAAATCCAGGAACAACAACCAGGGAAAAAAGCTAGTAAAACTAAAAGGAAATTTAGCAAGGTCAATAAACGAAATTCAACTATGTTTCTATATACTGGAAACAAATAAATGGAAACTGAGATTTTAAATACAACGTATTACCCAAAAAACATTTAATACCTAAGAATACATTTAACAAAATGTATTACATGCCCTATACAATGAAAACCAAAAAACAGTGCCAGGAGAATTTTTTAAAAACCTAAGTAAATAGAGAGATACATCATGTTCACAGACTGGAAAAATCAGTAACAGTAGGATGGCCAATTTGCCCCTCACTGATCTATATATTCAATACAACACCAAATAAAATCCCAGTAGACATCTTTGTAGAAAATGATTAAGTGGGTTCTAAAATATATCTGGAAATGTAAAGGGCTTAGAAAAGCCAAAACAATTTGAAAAAGAATACAGTTGAGGGTTTTAGACTTCCTTTTTTTAAGATTTACTATGAAACTAACAATAATCAAGACAATCCATACAGTATTGGCATAAGAAAGACATATAAGTCATTGAAATACGATACAGCCTCAATGATGCCAAGGTAAGGCAATGGAGAAAGAATACTATTTACAAAAAATTAGTACTAGAACACCAGACTACACATATGGAATAAAAATGAATCTTGACCCTTACCTCATACCATACACAAAAATTAACTTAAAATGGGTCATAAGCTTAAATATAAATGCTGAAACTGTAAGAGAAGAAAAGAGGAGAAAATCTTTCCAAAATTGGAATAGGTAAAGATTTCTTAGGATATAAAAATCATGGCAATAACCAAAAAATTTGATAAACTAGAATTGATAAAAATTAAATTCATCTGTTCTTCAAAAGCCACATTAACAAAAAACAAAAGGGCAGGGTGCCTGGCTGACTCAGTCTATGGAGCACGTAACTCTTGATCTCAGGGTTGTAGTCTGGGCCCAATGCTGGGTATAGAGATTACTTAAAAATAAAATCTTAAAAAAAAGAAAGAAAACAAAAAGGCAAGACACAGACCAAGGGAGAAATATTTGTAACTCATACATCTGATAAAAGAGTTATATCCAGAATATATAAAGAAATCTCAAAACTCAACAATAAGAAACCAAACAAAAAATATGCAAAAGATGTGAACATACTTCACAGAGGAAGATACACAAATGACCAATAAGCAATGAAAAGATGCTTGGAATCTCTGGTCATTATAAGAATGCATATTAAAACCAAAATGAGATATTGCTATACACTCGCTGAAACATCTAATATTAAAAAGACCAGCAATATAAGATGTTTAGGATGTGGAACAAGTAGGAAGCTCAGACACTGCTTGTATAAATGTAAAATTATGTAACTACCTCGGAAAAGGGCTTGGCAACTTCAATTACCATACCACTTAGTAATTCTACTCTTACATATTTATAAAATAAAAATATGTGTCAGCACAAAGACTCATACACCAATATTCACAGTATCTAATGCATAGCAGCCAAAAACTGGAAACAACCCTAATGTCCATCAATAGAAGAATGGATTAAAAAATTGTGATATATTCATACAATGGAATACTACTAAGCAATACAAAGAAAGGAGCTACTACAACAAAACAACATGGATGACTCATAAGAAACCAAACTCCAAGGAGTACATGTTGCATGATTCCATTTACATAAAACCTTAAAAAATCTAATCAAGTGACAGATGAGCAGTTTCTCTCAACAGGAATGCAGTGGGGTTAGAAAAGTGAAAGGAGGGACACTTGGGTGGCTCGGTCAGTTAAGAGTCTGCCTTCGGCTCAGGTCATGATCCCAGGGTCCTGGGATCGAGTCTCGCACTGGGCTCCTTGCTCGGCAGGGAGTCTGCTTCTCCCTCTGCCTGCCGCTCCCCCTGCTTGTGCTCTCTCTCTCCCTCTGACAAATGAGTAAATAAAACCTTAAAAAAAAAAGAAAAGTGGAAGGAATTGACAGAAGGAGCACTACTGAACCTTTTGCAGGAACAGAAATATTCTATTTCTTGATTGTTGATAGTTATACTTTTGTCAAAACTAATTAAAATATGTGTACTTTACTGACTGTAATGGTATATGTAAATCAACTCAATATATGTAAATCAACACAATCAGATTGTGTTTTCAAAGGAACATAGCAGACTAAGTTGCTCCCTGAAACCAAACTAGACTAACAATGGCTTAACCCAGAGGTTTCCAAATTTTCTTAGTTCATGACAGTCTTAGCATTTCAGTAATTGTTTATGGTGCTTTAGATCAAAATAAATATTATTAAGTGGTTCGGTTCAAACAATTTTGTATTTTAACAATTTAATAGCCATCTGAAAAAATTAAGGCACAAGTCAAAAGAAAAAAATGTTTTCTTCATTACATTAGCAAAATTATTTATTACTCTTTATGCATCTTGAATTCCATGAACTCTCAAATTTGGAATCAGATTTCACACCATCATCCTCATTTCCTGTTCCACATTAATTTCCACGTGGTACTTGTTTTTTATCACAGCAAATGTTGAAAATTTAGTTATGCAAAGATAGACATCGTCAAAGAAATGCAACATGAACTAAAGGTGAAACTTGAGCTAGTAGTTTGCACAGTGCCCCACATATGAAAAGATACTGTGTTTCCCTCAAAAATATTAAGTACCCTTCATTCAGATTCCTTTGACTTCCCTGTGGTACCTCTGATTACTCTGACATTCAGTTCTGTAACCCAAGGTAGGTTGCTCCATGCATCACCTCCCTTTAAATAAAGTTCAATTAACACTGGTTAAGCAGTGAACAGCAAGTAAAGTACCTTATATCCCAGGCCCAACTGATAAATAGCAAAAATCTGAGCGGCATTAAGAGCTTCACTAAAAAGGTAAACTGCAGTCATCTGACCACAGAATACCCTATTAGCATCCGCTGTTTCTGATGAGCCCAGGAAACATTTGTCAAAGGTCTGTGAAAGAAAATAGATTTTATTAGAGAAAAAACAAAAAAATTATCTTCTCTAGACAGATACATTAAGCAACCTACATTGCTTAAATATTTTGGTATAAATGTTCTGTCCATTCTAAACTAACCTGGCTAGATTAAAATAATTCACTTAGCATTTCATTTCATTTACTCATTGTTACATACCGTAGAGATCAGGAAAGACATCACAGAAAAGGAGATAACACAAATTTTCCAAAGTACAATAAATAAAACTTGATGAAAAAGTGGATGCAGGAAATGAGAGTCAGAGAAATCATTATGGACTCTGAAGGTTCATACTTGCACAACCAAAGAAGCAGTCTTTGTTACAAGAAGGAAAAATCATGAGTTAAGTTTAGGACATAATCAATCTGCCTTTTCTGTGAGCTAATATGGATGGAGCTAACATGAATGGAGAAGCAACTGTCAATAGGGTTCTCTAAGTTTGGTGAGAAGTTAAAATTGTAAAGAAAGATTTTTGCAGATATCGAGATATAGATAATGGGTGAGGTCATGGAGTAGATACAATCTCTCAAAAGAAATATGTAAATCCAGAAATGCAGGTGTATGTTTTTCTTCTAACATTAAAAAAAAAAAAATTCTCTTAACATCTAGGTTGCAAACCACATTTTAAAGACCCATGTATACAACAAAGAGGGACTAAAATAAAGTTCTTCACAGCTCTTTAAAAGTATCCTCTTATGTGACAAAACCATTAGAAAGAATGTTGAAAAATATATACATATTGCCATTAGGGAATACAGAAAAGTTGTTAACATTTGGGTTCTGAAGACAAGCCACCTAAGTCAAATCACTACTTCACATGCTGATCTTAGCAAATTAGTTAATCTTTCTGTGCTTCAGTCTCCTTACCTGTAAAATGGAGATTATAATAGTACTTACCTTGCAAGGTTAGTACTTTTAGAAAATAAAGGTATTTATTACAATGCCTGGAGTACAAGAAGCACTTAATAAAGACTAACATAAGGAAAAAACAGTTTAAGAAACAATAAATATACCTGATCCCCTTTTTGTGTTAAAAAAAAAGAGAGCTAACATTTACTGAGCACTTACTCTGTACAAGGCACTGTGCTAACATATTTGTGAACAGTTTCTCATTCAATTATCACATTAACCTTGAGATAGGTACTACTTTACACCCATTTCCAGGTAGAGAAACTTAGGCCTAATAGATTAAGTAAGGTCATATAGTCAATAAGTGATAGAACTGGGATTGAAACCTAAGTCTATTACAACAACCTGAACTCTTATCATTACATAATACATAAATATGTGTAGCATAGGATACAAAAGAAGCATTTGATGGTGAATGGGTGGAATGGTTTGTAATCATTTTACTGATCTGTATTTTTCAAGTTTTCTATTAAAAAATGTCATTGGTGAGAAAAAAGAACTTTTTAATTCCTATTTAAAATTTGAGTTTAATACATATGGATCTCTTTTTCAATACTGAAAACATTATTAGATAACAGTCATCTATAGCAGCTATGAATTATTTGCAAAATTTAGAAGCATGTATCATCTAATTCATTCATAAAAATGATCAGAATTCTGCCACAGAGCTCCCAACTTTAATTTGATAAATGAACCAATGATACATTTTCGATATATACCCATTGTTACCTATAAAGCTTCATCTCTACCCTATCAGGAATAATTTTATAACGACTGAGTAATATCTTATATGACACATGAACACAGTTCTACTCTATAAATATATTAATATTATTTATTATAATATATATATTATATAATAATAATAATATATAATATATTAATGCTAGCCAAAATATCATTATAAAACTCTGCCATTGTGGTATTCTAAAATTAATACCCAATGTATAATATATTTTTCTTATAATTACTTACATCACTGGTGTTGACAAACCATGTTATCTCTCCATAGGAAGCTAGCTCACCATTCACGTAACAACGAAGCTCACTGTTCTTCCATCGGTTATAAATGTGCACTATAGTTACCATATACCACTGAATAAGTAAAAAGTTTGAAGAAAAAAAAAATTCTTGCAATAACTCAACCATATTGATAATAACAAGTAAAACTTAAATTATAAATTACAATTAAATCTAAAAACAAGACTACCTTTATTAAATACAATATTCAATCTCTGGAACAATATTTAATCAAGGAAACTCAATAGGTAAGAACTTATTGTGAAATTATCTTTCCAACTTTTTATTATGAAAATTTTCAAATATATCCCAAAAAAGTTAAAAATTCAGTACAAATACCCTCTTTTCCACATTCTAGATACCACAATTGTCAACATTTTGCCAAATTTGTTTTATCTACTTATTTATATATACATACACCATTCATTAATCTCTAAATTTTAAGGCACATACTACCACTACTGCTACTACTACTACTACTACTAAAGTAACTGCCATTTTCCCCCTTGTACTTCTTTTAAATTCTATGAATAACAAAATATCACGCTTTTTATTATCCAAATCAGGGAGGTTAACAATTGTCCAGTGATTTATACTTCATTTTCTGAAACAGAATAAACAGAGTTGTGATCTATCACATGTTATATCATTAATATTAAAACAAAGCACTTTGAAGGCTAGCATAGCTTGTTAATTTAACTAATAAGAACACATACCTTTTGCGGCTTAAAATCAAATTTCACACAGTGTTGAAAGCCTTTTCCTTTTGACTTTATTGATGTTATAATCAAACAGCCCCCAACAAAGTGAGCAGAATAACCAAGACCTTTGCTCGTTCTGAAACTACAAAGAATAATTTTCATTTTACCTCTAAATATTCTCTCACCTTCAAAGTAAGATAATAACACTAAGTTACAAAAATACATACCAATATAAATATGGTTTATCCTTATCCACATTGATGTTATTTACAGGATCCATTCTTAGCCAGGTATGAAATGTAAAACCATTCTGGTATGGCCATTTGGCTATAGGAGGTAATGCAATGGCCTAAAGGAAAAAACTCTGAGTTATTGATTCACATGAAAAACTTTATTACTGAAATCAAGAAAATGAGACTTTACAATACTGTATATATTTCTACTACATGTTATTCTATACCATGATTATATCTAAAAGTGTCTTTATCCAAAACACTTTTCATAACTTCTAAGTTTTCCAAAATACATACTAATATTACTTTAATTAAATGATAAAAACATTCCATGTGACCTGCTGGATACACGAATCTTATTTGCTTCATTTCTTACAATGAAAAAAGATTCAAAAGTATTCCAATTAAAAGAGATAGGTAGTAATATCAAATTTGGAAATTTGTTGGTCAAATGATAAGGTATTAGAATAGAGAAAGATGGAAAGAATTAGTTTCAAATCACTATATAAATGACTTCACTACCTGGTTTAAAATTTTATTGAAAAGATCATTTTATTTAAAGTTACAAATTTTAAAATCAAATTTTACTTAAAAGTACATAAGGACCCAGAATAGCAAAAAAACAAAGTTGGATACTCATACTATCAAATTAAGAAAACCTTACCACACGAAGTTACTATTATAAAGACTGTGTGGTACTGGCATAAAAACAGAAACATTGGTCAATGAACTACAACTGAGAGCCCAAAAAGAAACCCTTATATTTGCGTTCAACCGATATTAAAAAAGAATGTCAAGACAATTCAATGAGGAAATAATAGTTTTTTTCAACAAATGTGCTGGGATAACTGGTTCTCTACAAGCAGAAGTACGAAGTTGACTACTTTCTTACATATTTTACAAAAATAAATCACAGATCTAAATGTAAAAGTTAAAACTATAAAACTCTTGGAAGAAAAAATAGGGGTAAATCTTTGTGACCCTGGGTTAAGTAAATCCTTGTTAATTAGGCCACCAAAAGCGCAAGCAAACAAAGGAAAAAGTATATCAACTGGAATTCATTAAAATTAAAAAAGGTTTGTGCTTTAAAAATATCATCAAAAAAGTTAAAAGACAAGCCAAAAGAATGAAAGAAAGTATCTGCAAATCATACATCTGATAAGGAACTTGTACCCAGAATATATAAAGAACTCTTACAACTGAACAGCAAAAAGACAGACGCAATTTTAAAAAGGACAAAAGATATGAATAGCCATATCTCCAAAGTAGATACACCAATGACCAATTCAGGCATGAAAAGATGCTCAATATCATTAGTCACTAAGGAAATGCACATCAAAACCATGGTAGGATACTACTACCTGACACCCTCTAGGATGGCTATAATCAAAATGACGGACATTAACAAGTGTTGCCAAGCATATAAAGAAATTGGAACCCTCATAAATTGCAGGTGGGACTGTAAGATGATATACTTTGGAAAACAATCTGGAAGTTCCTCAAATGTTTAAACATAGATGCTCAATATGACCCAGCAATTCCACTCCTAGGTACATACACAAAAGAAATTAAATGAAAACATGCCCACACAGAAACTTGTATGCAAAAGCCCAAAGCAATATTATTCATAATAGCAAAAAAGTAGAATCAACTCAAATATCTACTAATGACTGATTAAACAAAAGGTAAATATCTTACATTAGAATATTAGTAAGCCATAAAAAGGAATGAAGCAGGGGCGTCTGCGTGGCTGAGTCGTTAAGTGTCTACTTTCGGTTCAGGTCATGATCCCAGGGTCCTGGGATCCCAGGGTCCTGGGATCGAGCCCCACATTGGGCTCCCTGCTCTGCAGGAAGCCTGCTTCTCCTTCCCCAATCCCTCTGCTGTGTTCCCTCTTTCACTATGTCTTGCTCTGTCAAATAAATAAAATCTTTAAAAAAAAAAAAAAAAAGGAATGAAGTAGTAATTCCTGCTACAACATGGATGGGCCTGGAAAATAGTATGCTAAATGAAAAAAGACAATCACAACATGCCAGATATTGTATGAGCCCATTTGTATGAACTGTCCAGAATAGAGAAATCCACAAAAAAGTAGAGTAGTGGTTGCTTAGGCCTGGGAGTCTGAAGAGGAAATGGATTAAAGAGAACAGGGTTTCTTTTGGAGAAGAGGAAAATGTTCTAAATTTGACTGTGATGGTGGCTGCACAACTCTAAACACCATAAAACATTCAACTGTACACTGTAGAAATGAATGGTATCATATGTGGATTATAATAAAGCTGTTAAAAAAGATCAGACTACACAAGTTTTTAAACTGTTGTAATTTACATATGCACTTATCTACATATACCGTATATATTCTTTTATATATATGATACCCATAAAACATGAAAAACATCACAGAGCCAAACTTTTGCAATACTACTACTGACACTTCAAGAGATCAATTTAAAACAAATGTTGCATTAAGAAAAAAATAGTAGGGGCTGACTGGCTGGTTCAGTCAGTGGAGCATGTGACTCTTGACCTCAGGGTTGTGAGTTCAAGCCCCAAGTTGGGCATAGAGCTTACTCCAAAAAAATAAAACAGAATATATATTCAATGTGTATATATGTTTTCTCTCACTAAAAAATGAGAATAGAAAACGCAAAAGCTGGGGTGCCTGAGTGGCTCAGTTAAGCATCTAACTCTTGATTTCAGCTCAGGTCACGAACTCAGGGTTGTGAGATCAAGAACCACATTGGGCTCCACGCTGGGTGTGGAGCCTACTTCAGATTCTGTCTCCCAGGGCGCCTGGGTGGCTCAGTCGGTTAAAGCGTCTGACTTCGGCTCAGGTCATGTTCCCAGGGTCCTGGAATCGAGCCCCCATCAGGCTCCCTGCTCAGAGGGGAGCCTGCTTCTCCTGCTCCCTCTGCTGCTCTCCCTGCTCAGTTTCTCTCAAAAAAAATAAAAAATATTCTCTCTCCCTCTCCCCCTCCCCATAGCTCATGCATATGCACATGCACTCTTTCTCTAAAAAAAAGAAAAGAGGAAGGAAGGAAAGATGGCAGAGGAGTAGGGGACCCTATTTCAACTGGTCCCCAGAATTGAACTGGATATCTACCAGACCACTCTGAGCACCCATGAAACCAGCCTGAGATGTAAGAAGATCTGGATCTCTACAAACAGAATATCGCAGGTGGTTGGTTTTGAGGTACAAAGTGGGGAGCCCTGATTCCGTGGGCAGGTATCAGAGGATAAACGGCAGTGGGACGGTGCCTGGCTGTGGGGATCCTACACCGCCAGTAAGCGACAGCCTCGCGTACTGGAGACGGGCACAGACTCGAAGACCGGTAGCAGCAGGGAAAGGATTTTAGAGCAGCCCCCGGGGCGGAAACCCAAAGCAGCGGGATCACGCATGCAAACTGCAGCCCCGGGCCCCCAGGATGGAAACCCGGAGTGGCGGGGTCGCTCCTGCAAAGTGGGAGCAGCTGGCAGTTTTAGAAGCACAAAGGGCAGAGAAGTGCTCCGACCTGGAGACAGGACTGGGAGCGCTGCGGAGGGGC